CCTCCAACTCCTGGGCTCAAGCGAGTCTCCTGCCTCTGCCTTAAGAATAACTTAAATCTGTTTTTTTTTCCCTTCTCTCTGATAATTTGTGGAAAATACACTTGTCTACACCAGTGGTTCTCAACTAGAGGTGACTGTGTGCCCCTAAGGACATCTGGCAGTCTGGAGACATTTTTAGTTGTTATGACTACGAGAGTGCTACTGGCATGTAATGGCCAGGGATGTTGCTAATACACAGGACAATCCCCAGACAAAGAAATGTCTGGTCCAAAGCGTGTTGGGGCTGAGAAATACTGGTCTATAATGTGTTGATAGCTCTGAAATCCAGGGCCACAGGCCAACATACAGTGTCTTAATAGGTGCTTAATAAATGTTTGATAATCACCTGAATGAATGAACAAATGAATCATTGAATGAATGAATCATCAAGTAAATGATTATCTATTTTACTTGGCTGAGCACCTGGCACAGGGCTGTGTTGGAGCAGCTGTTCAGGAAGTGGTTATTGACAGGTTCCTGTAAATGTCCCACTCAAGGGGCAAGAGCCCGTTAGGATTAGAGACAAGAATGGGGAAGAGGCAAGACTCAGCCTCATCATGCCCTTTCTCAGTCATTTATTCAGAAAATATGAATTGAGTGCCAAGGACTTTTTTTAGGGGACATGGAAGTTAACAAAATAGACTCAAATTCCTACTCTGTCACCCTGTCAGAACTTCTATCTAAAGAAGGAGGATGAACAATGTGTACATAAGTCAGCTATGTCATATATGAGAGGGCGGTGTGTGCTAGGAGGAAAAATCAAGCAGGGAAGGAAGATAAGACATGTTTGGGATTAAACTGTTCTTTTCTTTCTTTCTTTTTTTTTTTTTTGAGACAGTCTCACTTTGTCACCCTGGGTAGAGTGCTATGGCATCATAGCTCACAACAGCCTCAAATTTTGGGCTCAAGCGAGCCTCTTGCTCTACAGGCACCCACCACAATGTCCAGCTATTTTTTTTTTTTAGAGACAGGGTCTCGCTCTTGCTCAGCCACCTACTTCAGCCTCCCAAAGTGCTACGATTACAGGTATGAGCCACCACTCCCAGCCTGGGAGTAAACGTTTCAATCGAGGTGAAATTCATTTCACATGAAATGAATTCCTTTAACGTGAACAATTTAGTGGTGTTTAGTACATTCACAATGCTTTGCAACCACCTCTAAATCCAGAGCATTTCCATCACCTCCAAAAGAGACGACATACCCAGTAAGTAGTCACTCTCCACTCGCTCCTTCCACAGCCCCTGGTAACCACCTCTTTCTGTGTGGATTTGTGTGTTGTGGATATTTCATATGAATAGAACCAGACACTGTGTGGCCCTTGGTGACCAGCTTATTTCACTCAGAATAATGTTTTCAGGGCTGATCCACATCGTTGCCTACACCATCCTTTTTTTTTTTTTTTTTTGAGACACAGTCTTACTATGTCGCCTTCAGTAGAGTGCTGTTGCATCACAGCTCACAGCAACTTCAAACTCTTGGGTTTAAGTGATTCTCTTGCCTCAGCCTCCCAAGTACCTGGGACTACAGGCACCTGCCACAACACCTGGCTATTTTTGTTGTTGTTGTTGAGGTGGTTGTCATTGTTGTTTTAGCTGGCCTGGGCTGGGTTTGAACCTACTAGTCTTGGTGTTTGTGGTGGGTGCTGTAACCGCTGTGCTATGAGCACCGAGCCTATACACCATTCTTTTTAATGGCTGAATTGTATGGATATACTACATTTTGTTAATCTCTTCATTCATGTAGGGACATTTGGGTTGTTTCTACCTTTGGCTATTATGAATATTGCTGCTATGAACATTTGGGTTACAAGTATTTGTCTGAGTCACTGTTTTCAGTTCTTATGGGCAAAAACTTGAGAGAGTGGAGGTGCTGGGTCATATGGTAATTCTATGTTTAACTTTTTGAGGAAGGGCCAAACTGTCTTCCACAGGACCTGCACCATTGAACGTTACTTTCATTGATGTACAAGGTTCTGGTTTCTCCATATCCTTCTCAACACTTGCGGTTTTCTATTTTTTAAATAATAGTCATCGTAGTGGGATGAAGTAGTATCTTATGTGGTTTTGATGTGCATTTCCTTAATGCACACCATTAGGTCCTGAGCATCTTTTCATGTGCTCATTGACCATTTCTGTATCTCCTTAGAGAAATGTCAAGTGGAGTCCTTTGCCTGCTTTTGAATTGGTTGTCTTTTGTCATTAGTTGTAAGTGTGGGTGTTGAACTTTTAAATAGGGTGGTCAGAAAAGCGCTCCCTAAGATGATGACTTACTTTTTTTTTTTGAGAGTCTCACTTTGTTGCCCTTGGCAGAGTGCCATGGTATTATAGCTCACAG